AAGCTCCCACATAATTTTGTACTTATATTGGAGGCATGTGTTGTCGTTAGGGGTGTAGAAACATAACTGCAGTCCGACTCACTCGTGCCACCCAACCCAATCCAACATAAAATTCTCATTTTTAGGACGAAAATGGGTGCATGGGTGTGGTTTTATAGATTTGCACCCAGTGTTTCTCAGGTTGGTCATGAATTGTGGTCATGTAACCCGAGCATACCCATACTTATAGAATAATGTTGTTTTCTATATGCTATACTAGTAATCGTGCCCGGCGCGTTGGCAGGTATAGTTTTTTTTTCTTTGAAAGGAAGATGGAGTTTTGTGAAATATCAATAGAATATAAGAAACTAAATTAGTTGTGTCGTACATTTTTTTTCAACTACAACAACACCAAGTTTATCATGGCAGAAGTAAAATGTGTGTATATAAAATTAAAGAAGTTGAAAATTGAGAACGAATTGAATAAACCAACTTTATGCTATGAATGTGCACCTCGAAACTCCAACTGATCACCTTGGGGGAATTATAAGCATTAAGCAAAAAGCAAAGCATAAACAATTTACAAATCTACTCACTAACATTTTCATACATGAAAAGCAAACTACTAAATATTGACCTTATATATATAAGTTTGCTTAAATTGGTCTAGAAAAATTGATAAGAACTCGACTGATGTCCACCCTTACTAAAGTTGGTGTCTAACTCCTTAACACGCATTTCATTTTTATTAGGCAATCACCATAAGAACTCAAAGTCAGCCATCTTCCAATACCAACTTATCACTAAACATTGTGATAGTTTGAGAGAGCTTTTTCGAGCTTTTTAATGCAAAATTGCTCCTTTCGTCAGTCCTCTTTTGTTACAAAGGGATCCCTTGGAATAATTTGAGTCCAGTGAATTTCCTTATAATCGTTAGTACATTATGCTTCTTTGCTTCCCTCCAAACCTATTTAGTTTTATCGTTCTGTAATGCAAAATTGCTCCTTTCGTCAGTCCTCTTATGTTACAAAGGGATCCCTTGGAATAATGCAGTCCAATAAAGTTCCTTATAATCGTTAGTACATTATGCTTCTTTGCTTCCCTCCAAAACTATTCAGTTTTATCGTTCCGTAATTTGTTATCATCCCCATCAATTTCCAAGTTCATTTACCTACCCATACTTTGGACCAAATAACTCAGCCGCAAGGAATCATGGAGTAAGGAGCAATGGTGTGGAAGATGGAGTAGTGAGAGCAGCTTTGGAAGGAAGTTTCACAAATATCTATCAAGTAATGCAGACAAATTAAATTCATGAAAGCAACAACTTCCTTTCAAGTAGCCAAGTGCACTTAGGAATAGGGAGGCAACTAAATTCATGAACGACAAATTAAGGAACTAAGAAGAGAAGGAAAATGAATGGGTAACATGACCAAGTAGCCAAGTGCACTTATGTAGCAGTAGGAGGAGGGACACGTGTCATCCTAATTTCATGCAACAAATAGCTAAATAGCACCTCAAACCCCTGATTTCCCTTGTCTTTCTTGCAGCCATCTTATTTTTTGCTATCCAGCTAGCAGTCCAAAAACCTCACATGTCCGCTTTTGCATTAGATACCCAGAGGAAGATTAAGCTTAATGGAGCAGAGGGTTCGCGACAAAGTCTTGGAATCAGCGATTCCCTTATTGGTGACGGCCGACAGAGGGTTTGCGATGGGGAGACCCATACATGGCTAGCCGCCCCTCAATCATCGGCAATCCTTCTCCAAAGTGGTGCTGGAAGTAAATCGAGGTCGTCGGGTTTTGATTTACTTAATCTCCGACTATCTTTTAGAAGGAAAAAAGCTAGATGCGTAGTCTAACTTGGCCTACCGCCAATCGGGCTTCAAAAGGAAAGAAGGGAATGACGGAGGGAAAAACGGAGTGTAGGGACAACAATTTTTAATTTTCGGCCGGTATTAACTACTAAATATGTAACGACTCACCACCAGCTATTAATTTCCGAAAGTTGAATCTGTGACTGGGAAAAGAAGTGGCGGCGTAGGGAGTTGTTGATTTGGCGGCGGCAAACTTGTGCAGAGATTTCGGGGGATTGAAGAAGAAGAAGATGTAAGCAGCGGTGAAGGGATTTGTTAATTCGGCGGTGGAGGACTTGTACAGAGATTTCGGGGGATTGAAGAAGAAGATATAAGCAGCGGCGGAGGGATTTGTTGATTCGGCGGCGGCGACCTTGTACAGAGATTTTCGAGGGATTGAAGAAGAAGATACATCGACAGCGGGCGTTGTGGAGAGGATACGCGACAGCCTGATTTGTGGTGTGTAAACTGATCGCAGAGAGCGAGAAGGGGAAGGGTTGAGTAATTTACAAGATTGTCCTCCCGAACAATGAGGGTTGTGCAGGAAGAGCTGATGTGGCAAACTCTTTTTATTTACGTTCGCTTATAGTAATTTGTAGATAAGTTGATTTGATTACGTGAATGCTTTGTTTTTCTATCTTTTCACTTTATTTAGTTGGGGCCTATTTTCCAACGACAACTTTTAATTTATGAATTTTTCACATAGGGTTTTATATTATTTTTTGGCTTTTCTATGACTACTTTTTCGGTTTGATTTTCCTCCACCTGCTTACGCTTGTGGGGTTGTTTGGATTAGGGTTTTAATAACAAGGGATTTGTGGTCAAATCTCTCCTTTAAAAAACCAGGTTATTTAGTTGTAGGATTTAGAAGAAATATCTCGTTTGATTATGGAACAAGGATTTTAATTAAGTTGAAGTACAATTTTCCCCCTTTTCTTCCTTTCTTATTCGGGTTAATACCATATTTGGTCACTGAGATTATTAAATCGTGACATGTTTAGTCACTAGAAAAAATTAATATCAACTTTGGTCACTCAAATTACTAAAACAGGTCACATTTAGTCACTCTCCGTTAGTCTCCGTCCAAATCCGTTAACAAGTGCTAATGTGGCTAACGGGAGCGCCTAATCAGCGCCATTTTGACCAGAAAATGGCCAAACCCGACCCGCCATGTCACTAAACCCGCCATGTCATACACCCAACCCAACCCATTAACTCAACCGGACCCAGAACCAAACCCGACCCATTTAACAAAACAAAATTGGAAAATCAATTGGGTTAGTGACCATTTTCAGGCCCGAAACCCTTCTCCTTCCTCGCGAAGAATTTCACAACACACCTGATTTGCTCCTTTTTTCTCTTCTTTCGCCCTAGGTTTACTTCTCTCGCTCTCCCTCTCTCAAATTTCTCCTCTCCCGCTCTGATCTAACAACCGTCCAGGAAGCGGATTGACAGTTCCACCGCCGCACGCAGCTGAAGAAGGGTACCGAGGGAGAGTAGAAGAAAAACTGATCGCTCCCGAAGCCCCTCTCAACTACGTCGGCGTAGCCTGAAAGTCCGCTGCTTTCCGGGTCATGAAACAAATGGTACTTCTGCTGCTTCCATAGCCTCCGGCTCTACCCATCCGTGATTTGTCTTTTTTGTACTGAATTAGGGCTAGGGTTTGGTTGTTATTGTTCTTGACGAATTGTTCGGTAGGGATGGGAAGAAGAAGAGGGGCTCGGTATAGATAAGAAGGGGATCAAAGGACATGATAGGGTCAAGAACAAGCAGGATACTGCTGTTGGTAATGAAATGTTTTGTTTGGCTTTTCGATTTCAGTTCCTGCTTTTGTTTTGTTTGTTTGCCTGTCTGGTTTGGTAGAAGATTAGAATGGAAAATGTAGCTCTTTCTCTGGTTGCTATTTTGCTTGGGAGATAGAATGAAAAAAGAATTGTAATGAAAAGGGTAATCACTTTCCTCTAGATTCTACCATTTTCGATCGAACACATCAGAGCTTCGCGAGGAAGGAGAAGGGTTTCGGGTCTGAAAATGGCCACTAACCCAATTGATTTTTCAGCTTTGTGTTGTTAAATGGGTCAGGTTTGGTTCTACGTCTGGTTTGTTTAATGGGTTGGGTTGGGTGTATGACGTGGCGGGTTTAGTGACGTGGCGGGTCGGGTTTGGCCATTTTTGGGCCAAAACGAATTAGCCACGTCAACACTTTTTAACAGAGTTGGACGGAGACTAACGGAGAGTGACTAAATATGACATGTTTTAGTAATTTGAGTGACCAAAGTTGATATTAATTTTTTCTAGTGACTAAACATGTCACGATTTAGTAATCCTAGTGACCAAATATGGTATTAACCCTTTCTTACTCCGCTCCTCCTACATTGCTGGCACTGCATAACCTTCCCTAAACACAGAAAACACGAGGTTCCCTTCACTCATCTTCACCCACCACCACAAATCTCAAGCCCAAACCCACAATTGAGATCCAAATCACCACTGATCGAAGACATTGCATGTCTAGGAAGAGAGCTGGGTTCGTCGACGAGGTTTGGGAGGAATAGTGTGGTCAACGGTTTCGATTCCAAATCGACGAATAAGAACCCAAAATCCTACAACCCTAATCAACGAACGAGAACCCTCCTCCGTGGATCTCTTATTTCCATAAGAAAAAAAAAGACAGATCTGAAATAGTTTTTCCGGGCATCCTCATGAACAACTGGGGATTGGTTAGAGAAAGAAAGAAGAAGAAGTCTGAACATAGGTAAAGAATCAATTGAAGCTGATATGAAAAGAGGAATACCCGGAATGGAGGAGGGTAGGCTTTGGAGAAATGCAATAAAAAATGAGAGATTGTGAAATAGCTGGTCCCCATCATCTATTTTAAAATCCTGCATACGAGAGATTGTTTTAAAATCCCTCACAATGTCTTCCTTCTTTTACATTTCATCTATGCTTTATTCGTTTTTTTTTCTTTTTGTACTAGACTAAGACTTCCAACCAAACTTACATTTTCGCCCGAATCAAACCAAACTGCTAGGATTTTGATTCTTGGGTGGGTTTGGATCTTATGTTATCAAAACTGTGTATATGAATCATATGAATAAAATGGACCCAAGTACACTCCTAATTGTAGCGCGACCAGCACATGCTAATGGCCGGCGTGCTGGAAAGTAACCACAAACAGTCGGCGTCATATGCGGTCGACCCACTGTCAGAAAGTTGGTGAATGGTGATTAATTTAGTAGATCTTTGGCCTTTGGTGTCGTCGCAGCATTTCGCCTTCCCCTTTCTTCACTTGGTTGCGACTTCCTTACTTAGCTCTCTCACTCCTTACTCCGAACCCAACTTCCTCTTTTACTTCGCTCCTCGGCCAATCCTCTTAATCAACAAAAGCTCTAGACTTTGTCTTCAACCCTCCCTTTTTTGCCGGCCAAAGATGGTTTCTTTGGCCCGGGCTCTGGCGGTTTCCTACCCCGCCGGCTGCCCCTGCACTAATACTCACGCTCCTCGCCGGTGGAGCTCCGCCCGGTTAATTACTCTGAAGGATCCTAATTCGAGATTGAAATGGCGATCCAAGGCGGCGGACTCCGATAATACTCCTCCTCCTCCTCTTCCTTCCACTTCCGCCGCTCCCGTTGATGCCGCCGACTCTGCTGCTGCTGGGTACTTTTTTCCCCTTGTAAATTCCCGTTTGCTGTCTTGAACTGTGGTCCGGCGATCGGTTTGAGTCAGATTTTGAACAGGAGAGTTGTGCTTACCACTGTTGACTGCCTGCTTACCTGATTGACGGATTGATAATTTGGGGGTGCAGATTTTGCATAATAGAAGGGCCGGAAACGGTACAGGACTTCGACAAGATGGAATTGCAAGAGATTCAGGACAATATTCGGAGCCGCAGGAACAAAATCTTCCTGCATATGGAGGAGGTAAGCTTTAGAAAGAAACTCCTTTGAAATATCAAAGCTCTAGAATTGTTGATCAGATCAAATTGGGGGAAAAGTTGTGATTTTCAATTGGCGTTGGTTGGGACTTGGGGTGGGATAAAAAGGTTCGACGGCTGAGGATACAGCAGAGGATAAAGAGCGCCGAAGTTGGAATCTCCGATCAAGAACCAGAGAGTGACCTCCCTGATTTCCCTTCCTTCATCCCCTTCTTGCCTCCTCTGGTAATCAAACCTCTTTACCCTCCCTTTTCTCTCTTCTCCCGTTATTGAATTAAGGGTAAGAAAGATGACTAACTGTGGTTTGCTTGTGCTATGGCGATGACGACAGACTGCAGCGAACCTTAAGGTGTATTATGGCACTTGCTTTTCGCTCATCTCTGGGATCATCATCTTTGGTGGCCTATTAGCCCCAACTGTAAGACAGTTATCTCTACTATCTCATCAGATCCCAACTATTATATTGTATATCCTTAAGCTTGTTGGAGTGATAGATGATCCATTATTTGTTCCCTTTTTTCAAACTTGTTCAGCTGGAGCTGAAGTTGGGATTAGGAGGCACCACATATGCCGATTTCATCACTAGTATGCATCTCCCCATGCAGTTGAGGTATATGATCCAGTGTTGCAAATATATCTTCTTTTCACTTTGTTGAGTGCTAATGGTATCATGTACCTTTGAGAATTGTTGCAGTCAGGTGGATCCGATAGTGGCATCGTTCTCCGGTGGAGCAGTTGGAGTGATCTCGGCATTGATGGTGGTTGAAGTAAACAATGTGAAGCAGCAGGAGCACAAGAGATGCAAATATTGTATTGGTACTGGTATGTGTTATTATCTCACCATTCTACAGACATTCCTTTCTGCTCCTTGGCCATGAAAACTTGTATGTGTGCTCAAGCTTGAAGGTAGCCTGATGATTGGATTGAATCTACTAGGGTATCTTGCTTGTGCTCGATGTTCAAACACTGGAACCCTCGTCCTAATTGAACCGGTTTCAACGACAGTCGGTAGTGGAGGAGACAAACCACTGTCAGCACCCAAAACAGAAAGGTGCCCTAATTGCTCTGGGTCGGGAAAAGTAATGTGCCCTACGTGCCTCTGCACTGGTATGGCTATGGCGAGCGAGCACGACCCACGAATCGACCCATTTGATTAAAAATGTGAGCTTTGCATGGAAAGGAAACAATCTTTTTGTATGCAACCCAGTAATGTAATGTAAGGCCTTTCGGTTGCGCCTGCACTAAGATATTCTTCTCGTGCCACGCAACGATGTTGTATATTCATATGGCCATCTGGTCGAATAGCCAAGCTGAATCAGGTAATGATCTTGTAAAGATGTGACTAATAAAGTGGTTTCCTTTTTCCTTTTTGTTCGTCGACTGATATGGGTGGATGCCTCAACTATTCTGGAAGTGTGAGTAATGGCGCTTAATTCCATGAGATGCCCTTTGATGAAATCATACTATCTGCAGTTTACTCGACTGGAAAGAAACAACATGGCTATGCTGACAAGGGTTGTAAGTACAGTTCTGATCATCCATGTAATCTTAGCAGTTGAGTCGATGATTTTGTTTACACAGACACCACCACATGAATTCAACGACTAAAATCAGGTGGTCACGGACTCATGGTAATCACGGTCTTCTAGGAGAGAACATTGTCGGACTACCGAGCTCATTAGATGTGCAAAATAGATAAACAGCAGACAGAAGCGGCGGGGTCGACTACTACTGCCTTTCTAGTCCAGCATAAAGAAGAAGTCACAATGATTTATATTGTTCAATCGAACGACAGGCATGAAGCAGATGTGCAATCTGGAAACCCAGGGGAATTGTAAAATGTTCACCTGTTCAGGTGCTGGAGCAGATGTACTCCTGGAGTTCTCGAGCGTTCATCAATCACAAATCCCACCTGTAAACCGTAGAGGTATTTATTTGAACAGACTTCCAGGTTACTGCACACTACTACTGACAATAGACAACAAAATGGTTATACCTTTGTCAAGCAACCTCGGAGGAGTTTGAAAGGAATGCGAATCTACAAAACGCCTTACTTTTACTTTTTCAAAGTCAATATGCAGGTAGCTACAAAGTCTTGACAATTATTATTATGGATGAACACAATGGCTTAGTTAGATTTTGGATGGACTGTAGTCCTTAAAAATTTCGAATTGATTGGGATCCTTATATGAGATGGTGTCGGCGAAAGTATGGGGTCCTATATTTAAAAAATCATACTAAAACACATATATTTAAAAAACCAAACTTGACATTTTTTAGTAATCTCAATGACTAATTATGACAATTACCCTTTCTCCTTATGACACATTACTCTCATTTATGTGTATCCATGTTAGAGTTGTAGGAATTATGTATTTGTGCTTATAAATAGAGCACACAAATGTACTAAGACACATGAATAAGAAAACTCTCCTCCCCTTTTTTCTTTGTGTCTTTCCCCTCTAATCTTTTCTTGTAGTTGTTTATATTTTTCCTTAGTTTCTTAACACGTTATCAGCATGAAGTCTGTTAAAATCATAATTGCTCATTGTTTCTTTACATAATCTAATATATTGGAGTAAGATCACAATATGATCAAGGTATGCAAATCTTCATCTTCTTTCATATGTTATTATCTTATCGTGTTGAGATTATCTCATTCCAGTATATTAAGATGTATGCTACTCTTTTCTCGTAGTAGACCATCCATTGATATTTTATCACGTACATCTATTTGGATTAAAATTTTGAGTTGTTTGATTTTATTTATATTATTTTGTGTTTTTACAATACATATATTGATTCCTTAAAATTAAATTTGTGTTTTGACATTATTGAAGATTAAAATTTGCTCATGTAGTACCAATAACAAGACATGTAATATAAGCGATGAGTTAATTTCTCAGTTTTCCGTGTTATCCTATTCTTATCAATCCTACATATCAATAGAAAATGTAAGTTCCAAGAGCCCTTATATTTTCCAGAAGTGGAAATTGAAGAATCGAAGGGCAAAGAAAGAAGTGGACATGTAACAAGAATATTGGTTATGTATGTTACCATTGTAATGGAAAAATGCGCTTGTCTCGTACCCGTTGTACGCAAAAGAGTTTATTCTACCAAGAATGGAAGGGAAAAGCTAATTCATATACGCTCTTGCAATATCAATATTATGGAAAATCTTTTTGTATTATAAAAAATGAAAATTGTTCTTGTAGTAGCAAAATCATTATGAGTTGACTTATCGATTGCTACATTGAACATATAGAGAAATGAAAGTCTAAATATCTCATTTTCCAACAAAGTGGAAAAATAAAGATAAATTAGTCAAATGAAAGAAGTGGATATGGTAACAAAAATGTCGAAATATGAGTTACCATTGTGGTGGGAAAAATAATTGATCTTGTACCCGATGTATGAAAAGAAGTTTTATTGGTCCAAGAATCATTGGAAGGAAAATGAAAATCAATATGTGCTCCTGCAGTAGCAAGTGTAAGTTAATTTCTTGTTTGTTAAAGGCGAAAAGTGTATTGGATTTGTGATGAGAAATATTATATAATTTGATCCAAAGGGTGTGGTTTCATTCCCGGAAGCGAATGAAATGAACCGTTCTCAAAAGTGAATGCAGCGAGACACACCATTATAAAAATATAATTTGGTGTTTGGATAACGACAATCATTAAATGTATCTTATCACCGGAAGTGAAAGATAAAATTATTTTAAATGAGGATGTCACAACAATTCATGTAGCAAAAGTCATGATCATATATCGTAATCTTGGAATGCCGAAATGTGTTATAAAACACATATATGTTATATTTATTATTATTTTGCCTGCTTCTTGTTTTGGGATAGGGTGAAATTGATAGTGCAATCTCAAATCAAAGATGAGATAAGACTCTACCAATATAAAGGATAGAATCTTGACCACAATCTCAAAGAACAATTCACAAGCCTAAAGCTCAAGGAACCAAGATTTAAGCCCTTTATATAGTCCAAGGCAATAAAATAACCAAAACCATGAAAAGAACCAAAATCCTAAACCAAAAAGGAAGTTTGAACTCGCTTAGCCCGAAACCCGGTCTCAAATCCTCGATCGGGGATTTAAACCCACCTGATTGTGCGCCCTTCTGCCTCCATTCCTAGGTCCTTGCTGCTTCCCCGGTACCTTCTTCCATTCCCGATTGGGGACGAGTGACATCAGTCCCTCATTGTTGTAAAAGCTTTGCCCTCAAAGCTTGTGTTTTTTTACAAGAGACAACATCAACAGAATTTTCAAATGGAATCCTCTTTAGTGCAATCAATATGTGCCTTCGAGCAGTAAGATTGTTTCCCGCATGTCCTTTACCCTTGCCCAATTCAGCTCCACCTGTCGTTGATATGCTCGGACTTCAGCTGGTGACAACGGATTCAATAGAAACTTCTAATCTCCTTTCTTGAACCGATAGCTATTGTGTCTTCCATCATAAATAACCCCTCGGTCATATTGTTATGGATGACCCAATAAGAGATGAGCAGCATTGGAGCAACATCACACCCAATTTCATATGCATAATCATCGATAAGAAAACAAACCTTGGTCTTCTAGTTGACTTTGATAGCTCCTTAGTCGTTCAACCAAAATAAAAAAATGGACGACCATTAGATGTGACAATTCTAAATCCAATCCACCAATCCATTTAAAATACCCAACTAATCTAAATCCAATTGGATTGGTGGATTCATGAATTATTGGCAAATTACAGTTCAGTATCTATAAATTTTATTTTTTACACTCTGGTACCTAAAATTTTATTTTTATACATAAATTATCATTGAAGAATTACATTTTGGTACCTAAAATTTTTCTTTATGACATGGCAGTACCTGAACTTTTCACATTTTACATATTGATCCAAGATTGAGGATGTCATTTGGATTCATGAATAATCCACCAATCCATTTGATTCAATTCATAAATCGACCAATCCATTTGATCCATGAATCTACCAATCCATAAATCAATCCATTTACCACATCTAACTAACGTATTGAGAGATTTGTCACGGTGACAACAACAAAAAAATATAGGGTTATAGGTATAATATTCATGATTGACGATTTTTTCAAAGGAATTTTAACAGACGGGCATGTTTGATAATTTTTTCAAAGTACAAGGACATGTTTGATATAAAAAACAATAAAGTGACATGTTTAATAAAGCATCATAGTAGAGAGACATATTATACCTATAACCCAAAAATATAATAGGCGAGTGAGGTAACCCATTCCATAAATAGCGGTTGGCCCCATCAGCAAATGGGCTTCTTTGTCTCAATAACAATTTCTCGCTGCCGGCCCATATCTCAGGTGTTTTGGGCTTCAAAAGACGAAATGTCTCCGGCGACGATTGGAGACGACTTCAATCGATGGAGGCTCTCATCGCGTCCTACGGAGACGATTCGTCGGATTCCGACTCCGAAGTTCCTCTCTCGGCAAGAACCGATGCGGTCCCAGCGTCAAAACAATCGACGGCCACAAAGCTGCCGCCTCCTCCTGTCTCGCTTCTGACGCCTCCCAACTCCATTGGTACCGTCAAAAGGCTTCAAATTTTAATTTACTACTCCCTATTCATTTCTGCTCACCAGGTGTTCGACCTTTTGCCAATGAAGGATCGACGGATTTCTTCCAACCCAGTCAGCCGAGTCGACTGAGAAGCTTTCCCCACGTGGAAGGAAACTATGCTGTGCACGTCTACATCCCAGTTCATATTCCTCCTGCATCAAAGAAAGAAGTTGCGCTGTTTCTCAAGCAACTTTCGCCTCTTGTACCGGACCTCCACGTCGTGGACGCCGATGTTCCTTTGAGCATTCTTTGCCAGGACGAGCAGAAGCTCGAGCAGTTTGCGGTGGGAAGGGAGTTTCATGTTAGCCTGGGAAGGACGGTGCCCATTCGTGTTCATCAGATTGATTCCGTGGTCTCGATGCTTCGCCAGAAGCTTCAGTCTCCCAGACGGTGAGATGTTTTTGCTTCTTGCCTTCATCCATAACAAGCATATGAAAAAGACTCAAACTTTTTGACAAGTGAATGCATTGGAAGCAGGTACTGGATCGACTTCAACAAGTGGGAGGTTTTTGTAAATGATGATCAAACACGCACCTTTCTTTCAATTGAAGTGGTTACAGGGGGTTTAGCTGAGGTATCTTCTTGCCTTGCTCCATGGAACTCCTTCCCAATTCCCATATTGTCACATTAGCTAATGTGCTTCTGTTTCCTATTCAGATCAAGAAACAAATTCATTCTGTTGATGAAGTGTACAGGTTACACAATCTTCCCCAGTTTTATAAGGTTTGAGTTCACGCCCTTGGCAGAATGCAAGCAATGCCCTAATACGTCGATCCTCTTTTTGAGTTTCACCATACTATGTTGAATTTTGTTGGCCACAGGATCCACGGCCACACATATCTTTGGCATGGGCATTGGGAGACATCAGTGGTTCCTTAAAGAGAGCAGTGGATGAAGAAGCGAGGAGGCCAGTTCTGAAGCGGGTATTCACTTGTAAATTTAGTGGCATTGAGTGCAAGATTGGTAACAAGGCATACAAAATTTGTAAACTCAGTGATGATTAAAGTCGGTGTTCGATGTTAGACTTCAGGGGACTCTATGTGTCATTCTCTGTACAAGCTGTTCAATACGATACATAACTGTTCTTGCCCAATGAACAGCAAACCCCATGAGTATGGGGAGTATTGATATTGATGGGACAACAATCTTCTTAAGTTCATCCGGTGCGATGGTGATGATTGATGTGTTATATGCAACATACATTGCGGTCATGCATATCTGCAGCTCGAGTTGTAAAGGAAATCTCTTTGTCAGGACATTGATCATCAGTAGAGCGGTGGAGAATCCAATCGTGTTGAACACCGCGACCATGGAGTACGCAACTGGATTTGCTGAAGCCAGAACGGACTCCCCTGCAATATGTGGTTTTGTATAATCTGCGGTGGTGTTTTCCCCTGCTGCGTGCGTGTCTTGCCAGACGCCACCAGGAGGGTTGATGCCGATCTGGAATGTTGCAGTGGCAACCAGAACTGCAATGACCAAGAGCGCACTTCTGGCTTCGCTCGGAGAGTCTCTTCCCTTCTTGAATTTGAAGTACTCTATCAGCTCTTTTGCTTCTGCAGTTCGCCGACGTGGCACTGGTAGTGTCGAGTTGGAAATGGTTACGGTTGTATGATCAGCTGAGTGTTGGGATGTGGGAATCTCTCTGGCGCTGGCTCTCAGTGCTCCAGCGGCTTGAAGGATGTCAATAATTTCTCTGTCGCCTGCCTCACTTGGGAACATGAGCATCAAATCTAGCGCCGTGAGACCTGCGTGGTTCATGGCATTTGCGTCTAGAGTGCCTGCAATTCTGTTTCCCAGGAGCAATTCAATCACCTGGACCGAAGCGAACCTTTTAGCCCCTTCGAAATTCATCGGTCTCACTTGTAACTTGACAAACACGAAACCCAAAGAAACATTTTAAAACACTTACTGGTCTCTGTTTCTTCCATGCCGCAAGATGAAGAACCGTGTTCCCCTGTTCATCCTTGAAATTCAACGCCTCTCTTTTATTCTTCTCCGCCATCCAATCCGTCAAAACCTTAACTGCTCCAAACTGGCTGTTCCTCACCGCCAGGTGGAGAGCAGTCTCTCGCCGGGCAGTCACATCGTCGACACATCCGGGACAGCTCGCCAGGATCTCGCCGATAACCTCCACCCTGCCTTTCATGGCCGCGCAGTGAAGAGCCGTCATTCCGTCTCTTCCTTCTTCCACCCGACACAAATCCCTGTTGACCTTCACCAACTCCCTCACGATCTCGAGATGCCCGTTCCCCGCCGCGAAGTGCAAGGCGGTGAGCCCGTCTTGGTTCACTTCGCCGGCGAACTCTGGCTTCAGCTTCAGCATCTCTCTCGTGAAGTCAACGTGCCCGGCGATTGCGGCGACGTGAAAGGGATTTTGCTGCGGGGAACATGCTGCTGTTGAGTGGAGAAGAAAGGGGTTTGATCGGAGGAGTTGGTGCAGTGCGTCGACGTTTCCTGCCTGACACGCTTCGATCAACGCCCTCTCCATTGCGCCTGACACACCTTCGATCAACGCAGGCTCGTAATGAAGGAGTAAAAGAGTTGAATGTGTATAAATGTCCTGTCGGCTTGCTTGACCAGAATTGGTCATGGGTCACAACACAATTATCAAAACCCAAAAAATGTCAAAAGTAAACGAAAAAGAGACAAGTGTAACTGTGTTTCCGTTCTACTTTCAACTGCCACAATCTCATTGTTAACAATGAAGAGGTTATACGTATAATAAGTCACTCTATTATTTTTTTACATCAAATATGCACTTATATTTGGAAAAATTATCAAACATATAGTAAAGAGACATATTTGATAAAATTGCACAAAAGAGGGACATATTATACTTCTAACCCTAAAAAGGGAGAATAATGAGTTCATAAAAGCTCTTTTGATAACTCTTCAAATTTCAACCCCATAGAGAAATATTTACATACAAAAACCGTAACACAATCCAACCTGAAGAGCGTCTTGCCCAAAATTAATATAGTTTTTAGTAATATGAAAAGGTTAACCACGATTAAATCGTAATTTTGACTTTTTCAATACAACCTCGACACGGTTTATCCTTAACCTGCCTGCCCATTATTGCGGTAGTGTCTTTTCCAGTTTCTCTTCATCAAATGAAAATCTGTTATTGTGAGGATTGGAGAATAATTTTTAGCCGGGGGAAAAGGGTTAAAACAGTATCTGGATGAAAGTGAAATGGGTGGTTGAAGCAGAAATCCTAATCTGCCTCCATTACAAAATGGGTTTTTTAACTCGTTGAATTGTAGAAAGAATGAACCGATTGCCGCCAGAGACTTTCTGGTGGTTGAAAAAACACCAGAGTGCAGCTGGCTTCAGAGCCCTGGAATAGACTCAAGATTGTATTTATGAGAGGCTTCAACTTCCTTGCCGTCCTGGGACTTCGACTTCTTGGTTGAATCAATAGCCTGCAAATATGTGTACGATGATGATGTACGGGGATGAGGTGAAGGGCTTGGACTGCTGATTCTGCTAGCAAGGAAGCGCCGGATTAAACCCCTTAGGAAGGGAGCCATTGTGTCTGGCTCGTATTCTAAGTAATACATAATTCCTCCCATGCAAGCGCAAAACAGTGCTACCTGCATTCATTACAAACCCAGTATGTTTTGATCAGCTATAGCAAATTCTGTATTACCAAGATAATCACTTCCATGGGTGAATGAATGTGCAGCTAACAGACCATAAGAAAAATGCAGCAAACTCCTCTCAATGGTTAGCCTCCTTCGTCTCATCTATCTCTCGATTGTAAGGTGAAAGATGACATGTAAGAGAGACCAGTGTTCATGTTCAAACAATTTGATTCAAGTAAACTATTTTTTCTAACGGGATGAAAACACAACACAGGCGAGTTATATCACAATTACCTCAGCATTCTTTAGCTTAGGAAGTAGGTGGCGGTTAACTAAGATGTACCACAATGAATCTCCAGAACGAGGAAGGACATACAGTGCAAGTTCTGCACGTCTAGACTTTTTCTCAAATAGTACAGAGAGTGCCGATAGTCCACCCGCCACCCAGTACAACAACTTGTGGTCTCTGACGGCAACTTTTCGATGCAGGCATATCACACTCTAGCACCATCCAACACAAACTAATGAGATCATATTTACCATATAGGGGGGAACAACATAAGAAATTTTGAGCACATGCCCACCTGAAAAATTCCAACAAATGCAGACAAGAACGTTGTCGACCGAACAGCATCCCTCAGAGCAAGCCAACATGTCCGTGCAGGCGCATCCATGAACTTCAAAGGGTGTCAATGGCATCAGCAAACAAATAAGAAACACTTGTTCACTGATCTTACAGAAAACAATGAGCATGTTTGTTTTAGCTAACAAATAATTAACTTACAAATATGTTGACTAAGGAACTGAGAAGCCAACACACATTCCTATCTAACTTTTCAAAACAACTATTAACCCTAAACCTCACAGATTATTCAAAAGTAAGCCACCCAACAAATAGATCTTCATATCCAACTTCTTCCCAGTGAGATAACCATCCACTCTTTCATATATACGAATGATCCCAACAATCACTAATTTCTTTATCATCAAAGAAATTATATATCATGTCATAAATTGCTCTTGTATCGATACAAAACATCTCCTATCTTACAAACTCAACTTTATCTAAAACCCCCCAAAAAAGCATTTTTTCTTCACTTCTACTAAAACTTATAAAAAAGTCAAGTTGAAACAAACACACCCATAAAAGAGAAGGCAAGAGTTAATGAGTCAAATACTGTACCTTCTGCAAGTGCAGCACAACGTAGGGTACAAAAGTCAGTGAGAAGTAGAGGGGAAATGTTTTCCTGAATGTAGCTGATGCTGCATTACCGTGTTGAATTAAACATGAATCTGTACCCGGATGAATAATAGAGCAAGGGATGATGGCAGGGGCTTCTCCCAACTTCAGAGGGTTCAGCTTTCCCTTTGTAGATAAATAAGCAGATAGTGCAGCGATGTCCACCGGACCACCTCTACAAGTTTCTCTTACAGCCTTGTAGACTGGCTGTGCAACTGGCCCTGTCTTTTGAATGAAGTCGTGATATGCTTTTGGCAGACTATCAGGATGCATTACAAAGGAATACATAACCTACAGCAAGGAAATGAGAAAAGACCATATGAGAAACAGAAAGATCAGATGTGAGGATAGACTGGAAAAAAGTTCAGTACCATTTCTAAAGTAACCCACCACACTAGAAGTGATGACACAAAATTTGATCAGCGTGTGTTAACAAGCTAGAAGCATGATTCTTAATCTGAACATTAGTACTTCAAAGGGATGTTATATTCAACTGTTGCCACACACCTGCGCACACGCCAAGGAAAAGAGCAATGTGTCTCCGTGTCTCCAATGGCTACCCCAAAGGTGAAACTTGTTCTTGGATTTAGCAGAATTATAAGCACACTGATTGCAGGAAGCGAACGATTAGCAGCAACTTGAAAAGAAAAGATCAAAACCTAACTGTAGTAGAAACGACTTCAAGTACAGGGGATATGCGTGTACCTGAGCTAATCGAGCCAAAAGATAAAGAGCAAGCGTACGCCTACTGTTGGGATCATCCAATGCTAAAACCGACAACCCCGCAGCAGAACCTGCTAAAATTCTGCTCCAATCATCCCCTTAAACAATGTCACAAAATAAGGAATAGGGCCCCGTCCCCGCCCCAAGAGTTGCAGGAAACAGAAGAAAGAGAGACCAGTACTTACGCGTTCCAAGGGGTCTCCTTCTTTCTGCACTTCCTCAACAAGCACCTAAGTGCATGATAAGAGCCCGTGAATCCACCAAAGAGCAGACCTACACGACATGCCTCTTCTCTGACGATCAGATCCTTCTCTGAAACTAGTTGCTGCCCATCCAGAAACATATGCTCATTCAGAGTTCACACACTACCGCCCCACAATACAATAATTGTATACAATAATGGAGAAATTCCCAGTGCATCAGAAATGAACTGATAACAGTAGCCAGTGTCAATCCCAACCACCGTCACAAATTCCACATAGAAAGAAATACTAGAAACCTTCAATTGCATACCAAATTCCGGCATAATTTATGGGATAATGAGTGGATCAGTGGGCAATTACAGTGGGGGAGCGAATAAACGAAACGAGAGGATGAAAGAAAACCTTTAGATCGAGCAAGGACGAGTACGATTGTCCCTTAGCGAGCTTGAAAGCGCGAAGCAAGATGCCGATTCCGACACGGACGCCGTAGGAGAGGAGAAAGCTCTGGCAGAGATTACCGATGGCGTGAGCGACGCAGGATTCATCTGGCGGGTGATCACAAGGAGGGTAATTGGCAAGCCCACGTGCGGCTTTCCGCTGACGGCGCTGCAACTCCTGGATGGCCTCCCGGAGCCGCTCCTCCGCCTCGCGAAGGCGGCGCTCGGCGTTGGAGTTATCGTTGGCTGAGGAGACGGGAGGCGGGGATGGAGGCGAAGTGGGGGAATCGGGTGGAGAAGGCATCTGGAGCGAGCTGGCTACGGGGATGGTCTTTACTCGTTGGACTTGTTTATTGGCAGTGCACGATGATGACGAAGAAGAAGAAATGGCGAAGAACAATTACAATGCTACCGCATGGTGAATTGGTAATGAGAGACGGCTGGTAGGTTGAAGGTGGGGATGGTGAAGAGGACGAGAATGGAAATGGCGATTACGCAGACGGGAATTGAAACAGCGGAAATGGGAAGTGGAAAGTTGAGAAGGAAGGAAACATATACATTTACAGGCTTCAGGGTTGTGAAACCGGTTTGTAGTTCGTACGTTGCGCTGGTTTAACAAGTGGAATGGTATAATCGGTGTATGTCACTTCATACCGATTTAACAAAATATGTATAAATATGAAATCATTGACATCCAATGTATTTAATCATATATAAAATATATTTATGGATAATTTACATACAATCCAACAAATAACATCAACTTTTACTTTTTAATTCATAAAATTAATCTTTTGTATTAGTTAAATTTCCTAAAACGACGTCATTTTGCTTAAAATTCGTAAGTAGATCATTTCAGGTCATACCGGTGATGTCATGTCGGTTTCATGAGCGGGACAACAGGTTCAACCAGCCGGCATGCCACCGACATGACAACCATGACTGGGTTTTTCTTTGTTTTTGTTCTCTCGACCGACTTCTCCTCTGGCATGGGCCTGGGACCTGGGAAGGCGAAGGCAAGCTGTAATATTTTACTGTATTTTAATTTCGTTTAAAATTACTACATTTTATTTTAAGGTGAATGCCACATTTGGTCACTGGCTTTATTAAAATGTGTCATGTTTAGTCACTAGATAAAATTGATATCAATTCTGGTCACTCAAATTACTGAAACATATCATATTTAGTCACTCTCTGTTAATCTCCGTCCAACTCTGTCAATATCTCGTGCATGCAGAAGGAGGGATCGATCCCTTGCATGTCGATAATCTTCCATGAAATAGTCTTCTTATGCATGACTATTAGGGAAGCGTTTATGATACCAGGTAACTTTTCACCTTTTGCTAAGTAGGCATATTCTAAGTGCTCCGGCAACGAATTTAATTATAAGTCATGAGGTTCTTTGTAGGATGTTTTAAGGGGTGGTACTAGAGGAACCTGTGTGCATTCTTCTTCCTTTGGTTCCAATACCCTTATTCACTCAAAATAGGGGTGGTACTAGAGGAACATGTGTGCACTCTTTCGAAGCAATGATTTCTCGACCTCTTCTTGGGCATTAAGCTCTCTCAAAATAAGACATACCTAGAGGGGGCGGGGGTCGTCCAAGAAGCATGCTGTCACGGACGAGAGTGTCTCGGTAGTCTTTTTAGGGTTCAAGTCATCATCCTGGATGTGGGCTTGATCCATTTTGAATGTGACACGCGTGGAGCCACTCGAAGGTTGAATTTCCCCCGTGCATATTGACCATTGCTTGAGTAGTAGCCAGGAATGGGAGGCCCGAGATTATGGTGGCGAGAGGATTTATCTTCCAATTGTATCGTCATTTGAATAAGTGTTAGATCGTTTAGGTGAAACTTTTTGAAGAGAACGTAGAGGATCACATTGTTTTGACACGTGAATCAACTACGCTTCGAGGCACCTCTAATTCGTTAATGGTGCATGGCAAGGTGAAGCTCAACGGATGCCTGAGTTTTTTGGGAATCCGCCGATGGTTAAGCACAACAGAGCATTCCTCTCCTAGTTGTACTGATGCTATATCATCAAGCATCTTGTTTTTGGAAGTAATTTCCTTCTTGTAGGATGTTTTGATGATGTCGCTCAACATCGTCGGTTTTCTGGGTTCCCGCATGCAAGACAGAGTCCATTGACCGCTTGATATCGGTTAGGTCGCTCTCAATGCCTATAAGCCTAACATCGGCAACCCTAGCATGAAACTGGAGCGCGAATGTTTCATGCGCGGTCCTTTCTACCTCAGTCTTGTTGGTGCGCTTAGACTGACCGGTTAAAGCATAACAATCTTATGTTTGTGCAACCTTTCAAGATCTCAACAATTGGAGTTCATGTATTGCAGAGTTTAGTTGCGACTGAAGCTCAACTGTTGAGGCGTGGGCGTTCTGCGATTAAGTAGCACACAGTGGAAGTGGTGCTTCCTTATCTGTGGAGGAAAATGCTCCTTCCATTTTTTAGGTTTGTCGCAGCTTGGGCGTATAGGGTTAACGGCTTAACGCTGTAGTGCTGGTGCATGACAACACACCACCTTTCACCTCCCGTCCAATGTGAAGGGTTGTGCTCTCGTTGAGTCTCAATGGAAGCATTGTGCTTGTTGTTCTGGGTTGTATTCATGATGAGGGCGCGATCTAATCAATGCATCAAAGCGAGTCCATGCATCATATAAGTCTTCACTCTCTTCCTGCTGGAAATTCGTGATCGATACTGGATCTCGTTAGCCCTCCACTCGGGGAAGAACTCTTCGATGAAGGATTCTAAAAGGCCTCCCATGATGTAAAGGTATTATTACTTGGGAATCACCTATTCTCTTACTTTTCCGTCTAGGAAATAAGCAAAGAATCGCATTCCCATTATGCTTATACTTATCTCTGAGGGTGCTATTGTTATTGTGATTTTCGTGAAACTAGTAAGATGGTCAATTGGATCCTCATCTACCGAACCCCTCAAGGTGCAGTGATCCTTCACAAGCGTGACCATACTACTATTCATGTCAATATTGCTCTTGGGTACTGTAGGCTGAGTGATGATGGGCCGGTTTTCAGCCGCCCTTGGCCGAAAATAGGCGGCCAAGGTCCGAATCACCCCCATTTCGCTAGAGTTTTGCTCAACCGTTCTGGACAATGGGTATGGAGAGGTTCTAGAAGCATATCACTTCCCAAAAATTGCGCCCTGTCCGCCAAAATCGGAAGAAACGATGCTCGAGCCGCTAATTTTTGATTGCCTCAAAACACTCAGAAACTGACTCGACTTGACAAGAAAATAAAAACAGAGATAGAAGAAGAAAATAAACGCGTGCCTGGCCCCTTTGTCGTAGTTTTGCTGAAAGTCCTAAACAACAGCGCCAAAATTTGATCTATTATAGAGCATAGCCAAATTTACCTGACCCTAAGCCAGGATCTTATTTCCCTGGAGTCTCTTGCATAACCCTTACTTCATAAGCAAGGCATGGTTCAATTGAAGAAGAGAGCGGTTTAGAAGGTTGAGATGCCTCCGGTTTGGTAGACATAAGAATTCAAAAAAAGTACATTCACCATTATAAAAAAAGTACCCTATGTAGAAAAGTAAATCTAAGAGCTACAGAACGAGTGAGAGATCAAAGAAGGAAGGCGTTGCATAAGCAATCTGCCCTAGGTATTCGATTTCTTGTGTCGTTAGGGAGATTTGGGTGATGAACACAACCTCCATGCTGTGAGAAATAAATAAGCTTATACTTTGCTCAGTAAAGAGTATGGCAAAATTGTTCCTTCTATCAGCAATTGAAATTTTAAGAAAAGTCTGTAAAGGTCACCAGATTAAGCAAATGATGTGATCATTGATATGAACTACACAATGGAAACTTCCAGGGGTGACCATAATTCTTATTCAAATAGTCTTAAAAGCTAGCTACTAGAAATATAATTGCACATGGTTCAACCACTAGAGACCACGTTCTCAGTAATCCAAATAAATGGGGACTTGTTTATCAATGGCTTCTGACTAACAAGGAAAGGGAGGGAGTGAGTAATCAGAAGCTTGGGCTCCAATCATGCTTCCCATCCTCTTAATAGGGTGGCTCGAGCAACCTGGTTCAACCCTAGAGTAAACGCCCCCATCCAAAGATTGCACTCATGTGTCTGGCACATGCTCTTGATGTTCTTGAAGGCTTTAGTCATGTATTTCTTGAGTTCCTTATTCACCTGTTCTTCTTCCCACATAAATCCTTGAATGTTCTGCATAAAAGAAATTTGGAACATAGCTTGTGTCTCAACTTGGTCCTCGGGGGGACAATATTTCATAAGAAACTGTACAACCACACAAACTGTAATTATTATTACCTGAACCCACTCAAAGTAACTGACAATAACGCCTCCAGCATTTGCATAGATATCAGGAAGTATAATCACTCCTTTCTTAGATAGAATCTGGAGATATCATTAAGTTTCATGTATGAGAAGAAAAATCCAAAACTTTCTAGATCCATCCTTCAATGAATGAAGGATAAACAAAGGAAGAAAAGGGATGTAATTTCTGACAATGCAGTCAAAAGCGTGTTCTACCTAGCAACGGTTGGGTGACCTAGAACCGTAAAACCATAAGCTGTTAAGTTTTAAAACGTAGAGTTTACTACATTTTTAAGGGAAAATCACGATTCTACGTAGAAGCGTTTTGGTGATCCAAAAAGGTAAAAGCGTAAGCTTTCAAGTTTTAAAGCGCGATTTTGACTGCATTGATTTCTGACCTCATCTGCTTCTGGGTCAGTAGGATGGTTTGTTGCCTCTATAATGTATTTGGCTTTTACATGAGTAGCATTTTCTCTGCAAAATGCCAAACCAGATTTTGATCAATGCAGGAGTTCGAGTTATGAACAAACAGAAGATGGAAAAACAAAAGAGTGGAAGGACACGGAAACAGGAGTTACTTGTTCAAGACTCCTCCCAAGGCGCAAGGAACAAGGACATCGCATTCATGCACAAGAAGTTCATTAGGGTTCATAGACTCTCCACCAGGGAAGTTGTACAAACTACCAGTGGATTCCTTGAACTGGATCAGTGCAGGTATGTCGATTCCATTTGGATTCTTAACAGCACCAGTAATGTTACTCAAAGCTATAACCTTCCCACTTTTCTCATGGAAGATCTTTGCTACCCATGATCCAACATTTCCAAATCTCAACGCAGACATTCTAATTCATTAAAGTTCCATTGCAAAAGCCCCCCAACTAAGAATCTGTAATAATAGAGCTTGAGAATCGTGGTGTCATCTACCTGAATTTCAAAAGTCAGACCCTCAATGGACTTCCCATATTCAGCCAGCAAAGCTTCTGTAGCAAAAACGACTCCACGACCTGTTGCAGCCTCCCTACCTAGTGATCCACCAAGATCCTGACATCCACAAACACATTTGACTGTCAGAGAGCACTAGAGAACAGAACAATACAATTCGGGTTTGTATGGTAACCAATGTTTCTTGTAATTATGGGAGACATGGTTTCTAACACTTGTTTTTCTTGTTGAATCTGGTACGAAAACCATGTAATTCAGCCCCTTGTATATCGAGAATATATGACATCATGCATTCTGACATAACAAAAAAATTACAATTCCATCACAAAGCACATGATTTCTTAAAATTATGTCTTCCAGAATACATGGCTAGCCAAGCTTGACCTTAAGCAATTCCTGATATACCATTTTCAGTTATCACTTACAATGGGCTTTCCTGTGACAACAGCTGGGGAGTGACCATGGAACTTCGAGTATTCATCCAATATCCATGCCATGGTCTGTCAGAACCAGCATAGTACATAAGCCAATCTCGGTCAGAACCATCGTCAGAAAACTGTATAGACCAATGAAGTTTCAACAAACAAGGGGGAATGCAGTTGAACAGTATGACCTGAGAATTAGTCCCCATGTCTGGAGCAAGAACATCTGTATGGGTACCAATTAGGTCATGAATCTTCTGAGTGAAGACACGAGTTAGACGCTCTAACTCGCTTGTGCTCAAATCCCTTAGGGTGCATCCAATCCCTCCTTTTGCTCCACCATACGGAATATCGGCCACAACACTCTTCCATGTCATCAATTGAGCCAATGCATTTACCTCATCTGGGTTGACCTATTGCAGCAGTAAAAAGTTGAAAAACTCTATGAAATCTCAAAATCCAAACAGTCACAGAAACTAAAAAAAATTCCCATAAAGTAGAACAAACGCCAATCATCACTTCATCAAACATTATCGAAAGAGACAACCAGAGAAACGAGAAAGAAAAAAGGAAATCTGTTACAAAGGAACATAAACTTTTCCAAAAGAGAACGGTGAATCGGAAAAAAGAAATTTACGCACACACCTCAGGATGATATCGGATTCCACCCTTCATGGGTCCTCACGAATTGTCATGTTGCACTCTGAAGCCAATGTAGGATACCAGAGTCCCATCATCTTTTGGGATTGTGCACTCTACCTGCAATCGAAATCCCAAGCACAGAAACAGTTTTCCGGAGCCAGGGGAAGTGTACAATCGAGATTTAACTCCGACAGCCATGAAAGAGGACTAAATATCAAATGCAAAGAAGAAGAATGAGGTCGCTCTATGATAAAAAACGGCACCTTGATCTCCTTAAAGGGAATCAGAAGACTCTTCTCCACCTTCGAGTCCAACCCAAGAATCCTGGCTGCAGCCCTGAAATTACGGTTGGTGGCCGCAAGAGCATTCATGGCATCCTTTATTTATCGAAATCGGACGACTACCCAGATAATGAAACGAAGAGAAAATTTGGACCCAGATCAGGAAGTCTGGATTAACACGTAGAAATCAGGGAAGTCTGAGAGAGAGAGGCTTATGATTTATATGGTGTGCCAACTGCCAAAAGATGCGGAGATTAGATAGGGAGAGGAGGACAAATTGTGATTAATAAAGAAAGGGAAGATTTTTAATGTTACTGAATCAGCAACAGCAAGCGAGCTGGCTACAAGATTTCAAAACTGGGAGGGAGTGTCAACAAAATTTTGATGAAACTAATTAACAGGCTCCTAATTTAGAGATAAGCTTCCCAAAATTATAGAAATGCTTCATCAGCTTCACAAAACAAAACCAACAAGTAAAAAAAAAACGGTGATATCTAGACAACTAATTTTTAACGTATTCATCGTTTACTCACTTTAGAAGAAGGAAAGATTGCCAACTAACTTTGTTTTATTTCATTGCCAAGTTATATCAGTATTAGTCTTAATGGTAAACTTGCCGCGACAGTGAGACTGAGGTTACTAGGTAATTAAAAATAAAAAAGAGTTATATTAGTGGAATACACATCGTGCATTTATCCTTTCCGTCAATAGTTTCCATGTGTTATAGATATGTCATTTGTCTCCCAATTGCCAATAGTGATACCAATAACGTCCTCATTTGTTTCGTTGATTGTTAGATGTAACGGTCAACCAAATGATGGTTAATAATTTTTTGTTTTCGTACCAATATGACTACAATGTCATCGACAAGTCAAAAATTAATTTTTAAGATTAATACCTTATTTTGGTCCGAACTATATCCATATAATTAAAAACTAATTAATCATCATTTGGCCAAAATTGATTATATGAGTATAATTCTGACGAAAATAAAATGTTAACCCTAATTTTTATTATATAATATTTGAATTTTGTCCATCATTGCAGTTTTTCGTTGGAAAGCAACCTCACTTCATGTATATTGTTTCCCAATATAAATCTCTAACTCTATATCTTATGATCCACCTTCCAATTAACACATACATGTCGAACATCATTTCTGTAATGGGCAAGCACCGCTCAAGTGCCTGAACAAATGCTCTGGAATAAATATACAACATAATCCCTAAATTAGAAGAGTACATAATGCATCTACACAACAAAGTCTTACCTTTTGCTGGTCGGATATGACTGGAGCCACCAAGACCATCGCCAAGTTCTTTCTAAATGTTCCCACTTCCCACAAACCAATTCCATGAGTCACTATTCTCCCATTTCAAGATATGGGTACATATGTAGTTCACATCCTTTGGCACGACACTAAGCAACATACATTTCACTTCCCCTTCTAGAAAACATTCATACAAGGCGAAATTAGGCATCCACTCCTCTAAAAATCTCATCCAATATTTGGTCCCTCCTTCAACAACCTTTTCATAACATTCTTTAAGTACCACTACCAACTTTCATATACTCTATTAACTCTCTATCCATACTAGTTTTACCGACAATCAGAACCCTAGAAATTGGGACAATTAGGGAAATATTTATCTCAATAGATTACTACTATTTGAAGAGGAAGGTTCGTCAACCTCTCAGTCATCGTCGATGTCGAAAGATGAAGGAAGACCTTCGTCAATTTGAATTTGGAAGAAGACCTTCATCAACCTCTCAGTCGTCAATTTAGTTGTTACCCCCTTTTTGCTTATGTGAAAGACATCATCCACACTAGCAACAACCTCCATGAAATCCAAATGGTGAAACAACTGGACATTGCCTTCACCATTAAGGACTTAGTTCCTCTAAAATACTTCATTGGTATGGATGTATCCAGGTCTGACATTGGGATTCAACTAGGTCAAATAAAGTACACTTTTGACCTTATTTCTCACACATGTTTTTTAGCTTCAAAGCCAACTACTACTCCCTCCATCCCAACTACTGATTTATCTCCTAATGAAGGAGCACCTCTGAATGTTGTAGATAAAAGTAGTTATAGAATTTTACTAGTCAAATTACAATATTATGTAATTAAGACCATATATATGCTATACAGTTAACCAGTTGAGCCAATTTGTTGATGGTCCAACAAGTGCTCACGAACAGCTACGCATCGATTATTAAGATATCTCAAAATCACACTTGGAAAAGACCTTTTCTTTCCTAACACCTTCTCCACTAGACTCGCAACCTTTTCTGATTCAGATTGGACATGTAGCCCATGACACAAAGCGGCTTGTAACCCGTTTTTATGTGTTTTTAGGTAATTCCCTGATCAAATGAAGGTCCAAGAAGAAGCAAACTATCTTCAGATCCTTAGCTTAAGCAGAGTATAGAGCCCTTGCATATACTTCCTGGGAACTCACATGGATGACAACTTTGTTCTAATAGCTTCCAGTTCAACCTAAACAACCCTACATTATCTACTGTGATAGTCTTTCTGCTGTCAAATTTACTAAAAATCCAATCCAACATGAAAGAACCAAACACAACGAAGTGGACTGCCACTTCACAAGAGATCATGTTCTAACAAACAAGATTCAGGTTTAGCACATTTCCACCATATTACAACTCGCAAATCCCTTCACAAAGGCTCTCCCTATTCATACATTCATCGAATTAATCTCCAAGCTCAACCTGAAATCCATCACGTTTAGCTTGAGGGGGGATATTATGAAAAAGGACCGATTTGTAAAAATTTACAACCACGTGTATTGATTAGGATAAATATAATTAAATTAGTTTAGGCATCAAAATGCAAATTAGGATAGTTAGTTTATTAACCCTTCCCCCGCGCACTCTCTCTCTCCTCTATTGAAAATGGAATGTAATATGAATCTCAGGAATATTTCGATTCCTCGAGAATATTGGTGTACAATTCCTCCTTTGCATCTTTTTCATCCCTTGCTCTACGTTCATCAAGAGCTGTAGACTTCCGATCAATACATTTTTCTTCCCTCTTCCTTGGGTCAACACAAACATGAAGGAAAGAAGTAGACAAATTTGTCAAAATTACTACATTCATCATTCCTTCCTTGCAAAAGTAATTCGCTAGAGGATCAGTTTCAGTTGTTTTAGTTTGGCCTCAAGCTGACTCTTGTTATGAAACAACACTAAAGTTCATGGCGGATACATGCTAAATCTGAAAGTTCCTGAGCTTACTCTTGTCATCTCACAAAGGAAGTTCAACAAATCTTTTGACTATCAAGAGTGACAATAAATTGGAAACAAAAGCTACATGCCCACCTCCCTGCACCAAACTTGCAATAAAGTAAGTTTTAAATTTACAATTGAACATATAGATGCGGAATACCAATTTTGTATGTTCTTAATTATCTTATTCTATAGTACATGAAGAGCAAAGTGTACTGATAGACCGTTAATTACACATGTTTATACCCCTGTTCTTACACCGTTTGAGATGTGATTTCTCGTGTTTTAGGCCGATTTCACGCTAGGTTGTGCTTGTTTGTGATATTTCAGGTCCTAGTACGTGAATGGAGGCTTGGGAGCGAGTTTGGGGTCGATTGGACGAAGATCGGGCGCGTGGCGAGGTGCTAAGGAAGCCGCACGGGCATCCCTGGACATCACACGGCCGTGCAGAGCACATTTGTGGCCGTGTGATTTTCGCCGAGAGCAAACACGGGCAGGATGAAAATCCCACACGGCCGTGCGACCCTGGCCGTGTGGGATGCCTGAATTTCGACTTAAATGATACGATGCGTTTTGACTCACACGGGCAACTGGGTGAGCCACACGGCCGTGTGGCTTGCCCGTGTGAGTCGGGAAATCTTGGTTTTTCAGCCAATTTCGAGCCAAAAGGGCGAGAATGGGATTTTCAGAGCAAAAACAGAGCCCTAGAGAGAGAAAGTGCGAAGAACACATCCTAGAAGCTATCTTGGAGCTGGGTTTCATCAAATCGAGCTTGGAGATCGTCATAGGAGTGGAAATCATCATCCCGGAGCAGATTTTCCTCATCTTTATGAGTATGACTACTCCGATTACTGTTTTCTTCTCTCTCTCTATGGAGTAGAACCCTTCTCTCACTTGGGTATGAAGAACCCTAGTTCCATGTGTTAGGGATTTGATTGTAATGACTTGGGATGATTATACTGTTTGGTTTTAATAGAATGATGCATGTTTATTGAATTGATTAAAGTCTGATCAGCTTTTCTTGATTTCTGCTGCAACCTGGGATAGATAGAATCTGATTAGGTTGTTAGAGCCTCTTCATTCGATAGTAGGAGATTGGTTATGCAAGAGTTAGCCAGTTTACTGCTTTGTACTGGAATTCAATTCCAGTAGTGGAGTTTTGTGCTTATAGCCTTAGCTTTCTATCCCGGTGAAGGCTAGCCGTCTGCCGGGTAGTTAGACTGAGAGGGCTTGGTCAGCTTAAGAGATTCCAAGCTGCTGTCGGATCTTCCGCAGTCTAATCAACAGTGAATCAACCCAGGGTAATTACAATTGAACCTAATTAAGGAGCTAGGGGGACTCATTCCTGAGTGACTCTTTCCTGCTTGAGAAAACCGAATAATTTCCTGCTTTCTTACTGTTTTTGCTTTAAACAACAATCAATCGAATTAGTTGGCTAGATAATAGATAATCACGGAGTAAGCAGTAGATCTAGACCTCGGGTTGATAATAGAACTTGCCTGTTACTGCATTCCCGGACTGCGATTACACTTGGTCGCAGTTTGGTGTTGTGTTTTGGCGTGTCATGTACTATGGGAATGAAGGAACAAAAGAGGGAATAATGGTACATGTGTGACATAAAGCAAAAGTAAAAAAAAAAAAACAAATGTGAGAGAATGTGGGATAGTTTTTATTCATCACAAGCGCGCAAGTGAAGCCTCGAATAGGTGGAACCTGGAGCAGAAATATTTCAAGGGAAGCTAATGATGTGACTTGGTGAGAAGGTAACCCTTAATAGACTATGAACAAACTGTAACTCAATTCTCATGTGCTTGGAGTGATTGTGAAAGACCAGCCTATGGGCAAGATATGTAGCGCCAAGATTGTCACACCATAGCACTGGAGGCAAGGGTAGAGGATGACCGAACCCAGTAAGTAATGAGTGTATCCAAATTCTGTTTGAAAAAAGAGTGGCAAGATTCTCATATTCACATTCAATAGAGGAGCGAGCAACAAATTTATGCTTGTGACTTGATCAAGACACTGAATTGGAACCACATGAACATCAAATCATGTAATAAATTTGCAATCCTGAGGACAAGACGCCCAAGAGGCATTAGAGTAACTGATCCATTGTAGAACAGAGTCAAATTTACCTTGTTGTCAACTAGGATCTTTTTCTCCTACGGCCTCTCACAACCACTTACTTAGGTAGCAAAGAACGTGTTCTATGATGCTTTAAAATGAGTGTGGGGGTTGAGGTTCATATGGGGTTGAAGTTTCCATTGATTTTACAATTATAACTAAATAAAGAAAACGGAAAAGAAAATCTAAACTATGTTGATACAAGGGAAACAAAAGGGGAAGACATTGTATAGCCTAGATCCCGTAGAGTTTCTTTAGACTTGTTGCGTTACGATACTAGTTATACACATGCATGGTTGAAAGAATCCACAGTGTATGTCTCTAATGTTACTTTCCACAATACCATTATGTTGAGAGGTATGACACAAGTGGTTTTGTGAATGGTTCCTTTTGTATTGCAAAAGTCAATAAAGAATCATTTATTATTGACGAAGAATTATTAGTGTGAAAAAAGTAAAGAATCGGTTGAGTTCTATTGATTATATACAGAGTTCTATACAGAGGAAAAAGAGAGAGCGCGCGGGAAAAATGAAGTCCTAATGGCTAACAAGTAGAAGTTACATATTAATACATATACCTAATTCATGTGTACTATCTAATCCTAAAGACTAATTGGTTTAATCCGAACTATAAAAATTGTTCATTGACATCCTTTGATACTCTAATACAACGGGTTTTCGTCAAGGGATTTAGAGTTGTTATCTATATACTTACGAACCCATTTTTGAGTTACCAAACTCATTGCTTTCTTCATTCCACCAAAAAAAAATAAAATAATAATAATAAATACTTATTTGTGCATCCAAGAGATTGGATATAGCTTGGGGCCGGGGCACCACACACAAACAAGTTGAGCTCCACCTTGAATCCACTTCAGCAATTATGCTCCTTAGAGCCACAATGACGCTGGAGCACTAACATGCCAACTTGTTCTTAAGTTTCACTCTTCGTTTGCTATGAACATTGGGTCGTGCTCAGTTACAAAAGCTGAGCTCACTTGCTAGGTAATTGCTTTTGTACAAGTCAATTAAGGTGTCTCTACCACGTTTTGATTAATTGATAAGAGATAGAGGTGTTTGCAGCAATCAAAACAATTGATATTACTTCTACCGTATAGAGTTTTTCACAATGAATTCTATAAACTTCAATACATTTGGGGGTCGTTTGGATGAGTGATTTGCTCATGTGGTAATTTTAGACCCAAATAACTCATTTTTTGACATTGTGGTATTTGTGTGTGATTTGTGCAATTTGAATGGTTAAATGTGTTGTTTGGATGAGAAAATAAATGAGTTATTCAGTATGTGTTAATTGGTACACAAAATTGAGAAATACAACTATGCCCCCAATTCTAGAAGCACCCAAACTAATGTAGTTGCTTGAGAAAACAGAGCATGAATGAAGAACATGAATCCTAAACCAAAAGTCCATCCACTAAAAATGAATCTAAACCCACAAAATCAACACAACATGCTACCTTTGAATTGTTTTAAGATGTAGGTTGCTTCCTTTGTTTGCCCTGATTGGTTATAAATTATAATAACCTGATATAATGCATTCCTGGTGTGTTGCAGATGCAATACAATCAGTGCCAAGCTTGAGAAGCTTGTCGATCCAGGACTCTCTTAAGAAGCAAATTTGATACATAAAACCCAGCTAAATCATGCAATAAACAGGGGAATGAGCAGCAGAGCCCCGAATCAAAGTCTCTTCCTTCTCCATCCTCTTCTTCTCCTCGAACAACGGCGAGGCAAGTGCTTCCGATAGAGAGATTTGGAGTCATCTTCGGCACGTGCTTCGATTTCTCTGCTCCTCGGATTCGTCTTTCATCTCTCAATTCATACAATCCTAGAAACCCCCTGAATTGTCCACAGATGCCGCCACCACTGACAAAAATCAAACCGACCCATCTTCCTTACCCAACTCCACCGGCGGTTGTGAAGATCGAGATTGCATCGAGACCAATATCAAAACCGAAATCCAATCTCATGCAACCCCCAATTATAGAAACAGAGAATCGAACTAGATAGCTTCCGATTCATGCAACCCCAGATTCAGAGAAGAAATCGATCCCAAAGAAGGTCTTCCATCGCCTCCGAACAGAGAGTCGCCGCCGCCTACTAACTTCCTCAGTTCGCCGCCGAAAGCTAGCAATCTCCTACACATTCTAATCTGCATAAAAAAAGGAATCCAAAGTGAAAGAAAAAGAGATTTTTCCTCGATCGATTTTGCTCTATCGCCTTGGAAGCAATCGAAGAAAAGAGGAAGAAGGAAGGAGAGAGATGAGGGCAGAAAGGGGCAGAAATAATGGGTAAACGCGTTATTTCAAAATAACACCATCCCATCAGTTATTTCATATAACGCGATTTCACGTTATTTACAAATACCGCAGGCCAAAATAACGCGGTAGGGAAAATGAATGCCAAACGGGGTATTTCGGCCCAAATAACTCATTATGGATTATTTGGGCTGAAATAACTCGTTTAAATAACCCATCCAAACGACCCCTTGGGGATTATGACCACTATGATGCATTTTGGGTCGTTTGGATGGATCAATTTAGAAATGAGTCAATTTGATTAATTGTCTTGTTTTATAAACGAGGCAATTAAAACGACTCTATTCGAATTACCTACCCACACCCCAATTAATTGAAATTAACTCGAAATGGATCAATTCAAAATACCTCATGCAGATTGATCCATCCAACTTTTTTGTTGACAAACGAGGCAATTTGGTACAATTGTCTCAAAACTAAACAATTATGTCAAATTAATCCGTTACAATTCCTCATCCAAACGAAAATTTCCTTACGAATCACATGATAGGAAACTCATTGAATCGATCCAACTTCCATGACTATGCGTGAATTTTAGGTCCGACATGACTGCAGAAAAGAGAAACGAGGCGGGAGTATAAAATGTTAACATCTGGAAACAAGCACATCCATGATCCATCTCTCGAATCCAATATCCAAACTCATTGAGAATCCTCTAAAACAGAAATATAGGAAATGGTCACAACATTACTCTACCCCTTCCGGCACTTCTCAACTAGCCCTCTCCAGCACAAAGAGATAGATTGATCTCACTTAAATCTCCTCCCCGAGCTCCATTATATCAAAACAGAGAGATGGGCATTCCCCACCACCTCAAATTATGAATGCAAAATCTCTTATCCATCCATAGCGAGCTCCCAGCGATAGAATATATTATCTGAAGGCCAATTACAGAATCACCAACGCAAACTCTACTCCTTTTTCTTTCCCCCGTGAGCATAGGCCACACCACCACCCATAACCGGGGCATCAGTATGGTCTGTACCGTGTTGGCCGCCTGAATCTGGGAACCCTCCTGTCAAGATTTGCATTTGGTTTCAGTAAACTTCCCCATAGCAGGAAGGATGAAAGTATTGAAGACAGGATACAGGGGGTTACAAGTGAAACAAAGAAACATCTCACATATTGATTCCTAACGGTAAACCTGAAAGTCACCTCAGAAAAGAAGCAACAATTCCAAAACTAACTCATTTCCCAGTAAAGTCAATTGTAGCCCATCCTGTCAAATGTGTCCTATGGCAGAACAACAAGTGATGTATGACTCAGAAGTTTCACCATGGGCATTTAGTGTCTCGCTGAATCATACTTGTCTGGTTTAACATAAACATAGATCAGTATATACCGTGGATAGGTTCCCCTTCTCTGGACAATCACTATGGGACTTAAGAGTGGCTAGCATAAATGAGTGAAAGATACTAAAGGAAGGCTCTTCAAACCAGCCTAATATGTGTCTGGAGTAAAACACACTAGACGAAACAACTTATAACATCTTAACTATTATCAGTGACCCTAAAACTAACATGACCTTCTAATACTAAAAGAAGTGGGAAAAAAGGGCAGTAAAAATCCAAACAAGCTCCTCTAATAAATCACGGACCAAACAGATATAAGCCAAGCCAAAACATATAAGATGGAAACCCCTACAATAGGGGCATCAGACACAACTTGCCCCAAACCAACAATGGCCTGGGGGCTCCACTGGCTGAGCTTTTATGGGAATCAGCTCAAAATAGCAGATTTGTGCATCAGTAAAGGAATAGTGACATACACAACACTCACCCGTACCCATATGGTTGATAGAAGGGAACCGGCATGAAAGGCCTTCGGGATCTGAAAAAAGGGTTGGGCCGCCTTCCACGGAACTGCTTCATGCCAGGAATATTTGTTCTCTTAGCAGAGACCTGAACGTAATACCAAAACAATGAGAACCATAAAAGAAGCAGGTTAACATATTCAATTGACAGCTTGAACAAAACTTTGAAAATAACCTTTAATTGACGCCCATGCAGTTCAGATTCATTTAGCAGGAGGGCATTCTGCACAGCATCCACTTCCACAAACTCGACATATGCAAAACCCTTAGGTTGACCAAACTTGTCTGTCAAAATTGTCACTCTATTGACAGTTCCGCAAGACTGAAAATGCTGCTGAACTTCTTCTGGAGTGCAAGCGTAATCTACCTGTAGAGAATACAACCAAGAGAAATAAAGAATATATGTCAGGACAGATTGCCAAGCCCAGCTGTTACAGAATACCAATTTTCAACATGGGGAAGCATATAGATGCAGAGCGATTCCACAAAAAACAACCACGGGAAAAAGAGTAGTGAACCTTACATTGCCAACATAGATTGAGCGGGCGTCCACTTCCTCCTTTTCAGCCAGAGATGCAGAAGTACCCGAGGAGTCTTCACAAACACAAAGAGAGAAGAAAAGGTAGAGATTAAACACAGCCAGCAAAAAGTACAAAAGTTTGTAAGAATGCGAATCACATGCAGGATAGGACCTAACATAATGCAAAACTGGAAAGCATCAGTGATATCGATATATAAAAATCTTAACTTTCTACTTCCACTTCTACTACTAGAGCTCAAGGCTACCCTAATTCGCGTAAAAACTAAGTTCGGGACCAAGCTCTAGCAAAATATCAACATGTAGAGGCAGGAATAACAGATATTGAAATGAGAATCCAACTGAGCAGCTATAGTTTTCTACGCTCGTATGAGAACAAGATATATGTTATAAATATACCTTGGACAGCGCCCATCTCTTTCTCGACCTTAGCCTGCATTTCACGAAGAGCACCAGCTTCTTCTTCAATCTCTTTCAGCCTCTTCTTCATGTCCTCCAATTCCTGCCAATCAGGAAAACAAATAAGCTACCGCCGCCAAGAACGGAAACAAACTTCAAATCCCCCCAAATCCCGGGAGAGCAAACGCGGAAAAGGAGAGAGCCGGACTGTGAGAAAGATATTTTAGCACAGACCTTGGCACTGCGCTCAGTGTTCTCGTCCTCTTCAGGTCTGGAAGACATGTCGACGTCGTCTTCCATGTCTCCCTCATAAGGAATTTCGCCGCCGTAAACCTCTTCTTCCTCGTGCTCCTGGTCATACTCGTGATCTCCAGGCTGATCCATCTCACCTTCCTTCCGACGGTTTATCGGCCGCCGGTTGCTGCTGCTGCTGCTGCTGCTGCTAGAAGAGGGGAAAACCTAGGGATTTAGTTTGGGGGGGATTAGGGGGTTTTTCGCTATTGCTCCGTCTTTCCCCAACTGGGGAGTTCACACACAGATTGGGAGCTCACTCGCTCTCGCCTCGTCTCGTATCTGCGTGGCGCCCAGTTCCATATTTGCAATTTTCAAACATTAGCAAGGGTACTTACGTCAATCGATGAGTAGTTGTGAATTGTGATTGGTGAATCTTCACTAGTCAATATTGGGTTAATTCCCAAGATATTTTTTTTTAATTTACCACTTTTAATTTATAGGATATTGTGTTTTGAAAGGCCGAGAGGCGAATCCGTGTGAGCTGCGAAAATGGTCATACCATACGCGAACCCCAGAATCAAGCGGATGCGCCCATCAACATTGTGGACCCGCGCTAGTCTTAGTCGAATTCGGGTTTTGCTTTTTCTTTTCTCGAAATGCGAATACGCGTAGGTTGGGGGCAAATCCGTTTTTCCCCTCGCCTTGCCCCGCACATATAAATAAGCGGGTTTGCGTTTTCAGTATTGCTCACCACAAAAAACATATGCTACAAAGTTAAACGAAGAAGAGCTCTGCTGGTTGTTGCAAAGATGGCTAATAGGTAAGAGACACATTTATTTTTTAATTATATTCTTAAAATCTATTATGATTTTATTTAGCTAGTAATTAGTGAATTTGTTTTTTATATAGTGATTTTAGATGATTTGAACTAATCGTTCGGCGGAAATCGGAGAAAGTAGAGGACAATTTGGGCGTCCATTTCGTTGGTAGTAGAAGCTTTTAGTTGACAGTTTCATGCAGGGTGACATATCACCAATTTTGTGAGAATCTAGTTCTGAGGATACGGCGTAATGACGATGTAGTACAAGATAGTGATATGATCACAGGTTTCACTTACAAATTTCTAGATGGAAGTGGTGTTTTAGTGCATTATGCGATTCCTATTGTGGATGATGATAGCATGGATGTGCTTTTCAATTTTATGGCACAAAATCCTTATTGTTTGGGTGTTGAGATTAGTCAGGGTCAGGGAGAAGATGATGATACATGGAGTGTGCCATATGATCATGACTATGATGACGGATAGGAGGAAGATGAGGAGGATTAGGAAGAAGAAGAAGAAGAGCCAAATTATCCTCCAGATTTTTACTTGCAGGGTAATAAAGAGGACGATGAATTATCATATGCTGATTCATATGGCGTAATTCTCATCCCTATTATTGTTGGTTTCAAAGGAGAATTCTACAAGGGACAGATATTTCACTCCAAACAAGCTGCACAAATGGCGATTAAATATAACGCACTACAACGCAACTTTCAGTATGTCGTGGTGGAGCCGACACCTTCAATATGGAAGGTCAAATGCTTGAAGCACAAGGATGACAATTGTGCTTGGATGGTGCAATTTGGATGTCAAGATGTTGAAAGCGAATGGACTGTGAGAAAGGCTAAGCTGATGCATTTGCGTAGCAGTACGACTCAACTTGAGTCGGCATGATGTTGACCATGTGCCCAAAGAAGTACCGAATCCACCGAAACTAGATCAATTGTCGTAGGTGGTCGCCTCGTGGAATAAGTGTCCATTATCCTAGGAACTGAAAAACAAAAAATAAAAATTTAATAAAAACTCGTTGTCGGCGAGATTCCGGCCGTCGTCGGTGAGATTTCTTACCTCGGTATCGGCCGCCACCATTGTTGCCACTGTCGCATGTATGTCGCCCTCTTTCACGACCCCTTCCTCCTCCTGCTTCCTCTTCGCCGGAATGGTCGGAGTCTGCCATAAGATCTATTGGGTTGGGCGGTTCCGCGCAAGCCAATAGAAGGGAGGAGGAAGGCATTGCGGAATCGCGTGAAAAAATGGAGTAAGGGGAGCTGATTCCGCAGATCCGCGTGAGAAGAGGGAAAGAACGAAGAGGGTTTTTGGTTTTTGGGTCGTCGTTTGAGGGTGGGTGGGGGTTGGTTGAAGACAGAGATAATCATATTAATATCACCAAGCAGATCCACTTAAGACTGGGGCGGATTCGCGTTTTATCACTAGCGTATCCGCTTGAGTCTGGGGCGGATTCCCATGGGGTATGGCTATTTTCACTGCCCACGCGGATTCGCCTTATCCTACCTTCAGAATACAATATTTATGTGAATACTTTTTAAAAGGCTATATTCCGGATAAATTTAAAAAAATATTTTGGGAATTAACCCCAATACTTGCTTGTGCTACCCATCAATCGGATTTTCTAGATAGCTAGGGGCCATTTGGATGGTAGGATTTTAGATGAATAACTAGCTTTTGAACCGGCCCGTTAGTAGGTAAATTTTTTATTTATTTCACATCATATTATATCATGTATTCATTGTGCGGTCTGACAATTCTCAATTTCTCAAAATTGTGCGCTGACAAGTCGAGTATTTTTGGTTTGGAGTCAAATCAGAATGAGTCTGTACATGAGAGTATCATTTCAAAAGAAAATATTTAACATACAAAAAATTAAAAATTCATTGATAGTTTGGGCGAAAAAAGTTATATGAAAAAAAAATTGCCAATAGTTCACTTGTATTACCAAGACGAAAAGATAACAAGAGTTTACACCATATGAACCAACCAAAGTCGAAAATCAAAAGTATTTACACTCGCATGTAACAAAGAAAGGGTCTAAGGTGAACTATTTATTAATCTTCATATTCCTATTGATTTGATAACCCTACGTCCATCAAATGAATCTAGAATCAATGTTATTAATTTTTCAATTTAATACCGTTTACTTAGTGGCCTTAGAACAACCAAGTATATATAATTGAAACAAGAAACAAATGCATATAATTGATACATTTTTAGAAGAAATATAAATGGAATTACATTCCGTTTTTATTTTTATAGAGTTCCATTTCCAGTGTTATTAAAGTCGAGTCGAGCCGCTCGGCCCGACTAGTAAAACCTCCACCCGGTCATAAAATCGGCTCGGAACAATCTAAAAGCCGCTCCGATTTTATGTAGCGGTTGACGAGCGGCCGAGGCGGTTAATCGCTTAAGCCTATTGAGCCGCTCGTCCGGTTTTTGCCATTCAGCCATTAAATGTAATTAAAAAAATTGCAAAAAATTGAAATAAACAAAAAACGTCGGGCTCTCAAACTGAATCCTTATTTCCATTTCACAATTTTGAAGGAAAGAGACGAGCTCTGATTAAGAAATGTCCACTATTTATAATGATAACGTTGATTAGGTACCGGTTCTCTAACAGTTTTTAAACGATATAATGTCGGTTGGACCACTAAAGTGCGAGCCGTTCGCATTACCGGGTCATGCTCCGGTTTGGTTATGACAACATTGTCCATTTTCAATTCTAGTGTTTGGTATAATTCCTATAACTATGCAAATGAATTGCACTTTTAACAATAATTAATAATGTAATTGTTTGTTTTACCGTGGGAAATGAAATATGAATGATAGAGAAGAGCAAGGTTATCAACCCGCGGGTCGACCCACTTTGACCCTGGCCCGGTGAAAAAAAGGGCCACACGCACCCGCCGGATCGATCGCTACAAGGTAACGGGTTGGAGGTCAAATTGTGACATTTTTGTTTGTTTGCGAAATGCGCCTATTTTCCGATTTTTCTTTTCGCCTAACTCAATCTTTGGAATTCTAAGTTGAACATTTGAATATTGATGGTATATAAGTGTGTGTGAATTTTCACTATATGTTGAATGTAAGTACGACATGTTATTTTGGTGTAATATTATATATTATAACTCATATGTTAGATGAGATTTGATATAATTTATCCGGATACGTACAATATAATTACTCTTTCCATATTTCCGGGCTAAAATGGGTGACTCATTAATCCTTGACCCACTAGCTCGACCGGGTCTGAGTCAGCCTGCGGGTTGACAACCTTGAGAAAGAGAGTAAAATGATAGTGGGTAATAAAATAATAGAAAATATGGATGGGACCCACTAATTTCATCTCCATAAACCCTATTCCTTTCACTTTTGATTATGTGTGTACATGGGTCGGGTGGTTCGGGTTTAGCCATTTTAATCACCTGATTCATGCATTACGGTTTAGAAAATATTAAACCCAAATCCACCCAAAAAAATTTAAACCCTACAGTTTATTTCTAATTGGGTTGGGTCGGGTTGGCGATATTTTTAAGTAAAAACCCAACACAAAATGTGTAATTATTCTACACCATAAAAATATTTTATAACTAATTAAAATTTCAAACGAATAAACCGAGCGAAAAAGTATAAAATTTCACAAATATTGTTTGAATTTTAATAAAATGTGATTTACTTCAACATATGTCTAGTTTTTTTCACGACATTTGTTGAAATAGGCTAAAAAGGTTATGAACGAACGCATCCATAATATGTTATTCTATTAAAATTATACACAAGAAAAAAGGATTACATGAATCATAGCTATATTAAATTTGTGTCTATACTTTAAGCCGGAGAATGCATTAGATTAGGAAGACCATGAGAGAAAAACATGGCGAAATATCTTAATTTTCTCATAAGTATGGCTGTATACGAAATAAATCTTTTTTGGATACGAACTCATTCCAATTATTGGAACACGGGTTGGGTCGGGTTCTGCGGGTTGTGTACCCCAAAATCCAAACCCAACCCAAAAGAGGTGGGTTGTACAAAAGAAAACCCTCACCCAACCCAAAACCTTCGTTCTAGCAATAAATACGGGTGGGTTGAGTCGGGTTGGACGGGTGAGTCGGTTTGTGGGGGTGTATTTGTTCAACCCTACTTTTGATAGGAATTGTAATCCCCAAAACTTAGGCCAAAATAGAGGTCATTTTTCAACCTTTTGATCATTCCAAACATAAAATATGGAAATGGAATTGGAAACAGAATTCCAATTCAAGAGTTTTTTGTGTGTATCCAAACAGGCTACAAGGAATTCTCTGATTGAAATCCATGATCTGCAAAACATGAAAACATAAGACAACATCATCAATCAAGTATATTTGTAGGAAATAATGATCAAATAACTTCGAGAAAGAGTTGAACCAAAAAGTTTCATCAAATCAAGATTAAAAATTTAACATCTGGTAATGCTATGTTCAAATATGAACTAAAAGCAAAAGGACTGGTGTAATAA